CCCCCCCCCAAAATAAATAAATAAATAAATAGCAACACAATAATTTTGTGATAGCAATTTACTAAAAATCATCATAACTTTTTGCAGATATATAATTCATTTTTACTAAGAAAAATTGTTAGGCAGTTCCAAAATAAATTTCTATCGTACTAAGGGTGCAATAAGTTTGCCATGTTTGCGATTCATTTTTTAAGAATATATTTTGCAATTTTTTTAGGAGAATATGTTTAAAAATTAGGAAAAGTTTTGAATTTACATACAAAATTACTTTATTGGAAGAATATGTGACTGAATATGAATTAAAAAAAAAAAAATTCATAAGAATGGAGTTAAAACATGTTTTCAGGTAAACTCTATAGATACTTCTAAATAACGGATTATTGATAACAATTTCACACACAAAAAGTGTTAATAAATTAATGCAAATTTAAGTTTTAAGATACTTTGACATTAAAATGAAGCACATAATTAAAAATACACCAATACTATATATCTTTTCAATTATTAGAGAATAAACTGGAAATATAGTAGATAAAGCTCCTGTTTAGTGTAGCTAAAAATAAGATTTTTAGTAAATTTTGATAAAAAATGATTGAAAAGTTATGGATCCCATAAAATGTGTAGTCAAAATTAATTTTAAAATTTTAATCCACACCCAACAAGAGCAAAGATTAATCGTCCACGATGAGAATGAGTAATTAGCCCTAATGATCGATAACAGTAAACGCTTATTTCTTAACATATATATTAATAATCATAGTCTTTTAAATCGAAATGTTAAACTACCTCATGATCGATCCATCACGACTTATCGTGTAATTGATTTACGTGCAAATTGGATTTATTTTTTTACTTCATAAAAAAAATTCGATAATGTACAGTTTTTATAGATTGAGGATAACAAAATTTGATCCTGCTAATAAATTACGTTAAAATATTATCACCTCCTTTGAAAAACTTAAACAGTTGACCGTACAATTTAATTTACAATTTTTGGCATGGAAGATCTCTATAGATTTTGACACAGGCAAATGATAAACAAACTTTAATTACAGTCGAGCCACTTGTGACCTAATTATGAGATTAAATGTTAAATAAATATTCTGATTTTATTCATTTTTAATCAATGTCGTGTGGCATCAATGAGAAAGCCAGATATTAAACTCAGTTTAAAAATCCTGTCATCTTCAAATGTCGTAATTACCCGATAAAGCCTAAGGTAAGGTGGTTATATCCCCAGATTAGTACTTACATATATTTAAATGTAAGTTATTCGATTCCAATTTGTTTTAATTTGATTACTAATTTTCATTTTTATTTAAATTTGACCATTCTGTTCACAATCGTTGGCAAATTAATAGACTGAATTTGCAGCTTGCTAACTGAATTCGAGACGAGAAAATTTGTAACGATATGCCACCATGGAATCCTCACCCTTTTAGAGAAAAAATAAATAAACAAATAAATAAAATAAAAGAGGTGAGATTTGATAACACAATCTTTTAGTACTTGAAAATAATTGTTTTGGGTTTTTTGCGCTCGTGTAAATCACGACAACATTTGTGGAGCTATGCTCCTCTTTGGTGGGATTAAATTCAAAAGTTTAATTTAAATTAAGTTAAGAATTAGTTACAACCACATATTTTATATAATTCAACAATTTTTAATCATAAATTTTATTAATTTTTATTAAAATTTACTAAAAATCTGATTTTAATCTCAACCAAATAAGGCGTACTAATTTTCCTTCAAGAAAGTATCTACAAAAGAATATAATTGGCATAGCCTAAGGAATATTTAGCTGTAAAGATTGAGGGAATTTGTGAAGTGGTCTATGGCGATGACGGGTGCAAATATGATTTTTACACGTGTAAATAAACAGTGTTTTGATAATCTATCCAGAACTAAATTAATAAAATTAAAGTACTAAAGTCAAAAGGTTAAATTAGAATTGAACAAATAAAAAAGATAAATAATTATTTAGTTTTAACATAAATAATCGATTTGTATAAAACTGATCAGTTTGCAATTGAATCAACTAGTTATTAAGGGTTTAACTTAGCCCTTTTTCCGCTGTTTTTGATTGTTTTTGGGTATTTATAAAAGGTTGGGAAAACGGTGTATATCAATTTTTAGGGTTTATATTTCTCAACTTATGAAATCAATATTTTTGGAAGTTTTTTAAATTTTCTTCCAATTTTACCCTCTCTTAAACAATTATGTTAATATGTATACTAAAAGTAATTATCTTGTGACCTGTGTTTGTTCAAAACTGATGAATATTATCTTTTAAGAAATATTTAGCAGAAAGAAATTGTACAAATATTACACGAAATATGATAGAAAATGATTTGAATTTACCATATAAATTCATATTGAATTGTAAGGAATGATATATACAAATTTACTCCATATTATTTATACGCAACTACTTTTTATTATATATGATCATATATATATACGTATTTTATTATCTTATAAGACTCTCAGAATCAGTAGATAATAAACTTTGAAATATGGGTTGGACTGATTTAAAAAATATTACTATAAGTCACTCAAAATGGTATCTTTCATTAACGTCCAAAACCGATGCTTCAAAAATTCTAGAGGAAATTATAGGAACTAAAACATTTAGAGATTCAATTTCATAAATCATATGTTAAGTTTACTATTTCAAAAATCAGATTTTTTAATTAATTAATATATATAAAAAATTAATTAATTTGCCCTATCTAATTTCAAACCCTAAATTATTTCCACCTCATCTCTCTCTCTCTCTCTCTCTCTCTCTCTTCCCCCACCAATAACCGATTTGAGATTGTCAGGGTAAAACCGCTCGAAGTCGTCGGAGTGAAGCGGTTTCGCCGACTTGTCACCCTTCTCTAATCTAATGCCCCGCTCTCCTCCCTTTCCTCTCCTCTCCTCTCATGTATTTGTATCTACCTGCTCCAATTGTATCTGCCGATCACGGGAGATCCAGTTTTTCTCACCCTTTCTCTTCGTCGCCAATCAATTTGAGAGCATTGAAGTGAAACCACTTGAAACCGTTGGAGTGAAGCGGTGTCCCCATCGCAACCCTGCCAACCCTTTCTAATCCAACGATGCCGCTCTCCTCCCTCTCCCCTCCTCTGTTGTATCTATTTTTCGGATATGATTTGTTGGTATTTTTAGGAGGCAATTTTCTTGGACTTGTTTCTGTTTCAAATCTGATTTGTTGGTTATTTAGGAGGCGATTTTCTTGAATCTTGGTGGTGGCGGTGGTTTGTTGGTGGTTGTGTTGGTGGCGATGATTTGTTGGTGGTTAGGCGACGATTTTGCTGTTGTTTGTGTATCGAATGTTGTGCCTGCAATCTTATGTTTGGGCCACAGTGTTGGAACTTCTTGGTGGCGTGGTGGTCGCAAGTATTGGTGATGGTCATAAATCATTTGGTTGATTGTAACCATTAAATTGGTTAATCTGTAACCAATAAATAATATGTGATTAACGAAAAAGATAAATTGTGACCAAGAAATAGTGCGTGATTAATGAAAAAGATAAATTGTGATCAAGAAATAATGTATGATCTAAAAATTTGTTAATTTATTACAAATAATTTTATAATTTGTTACCATATAAGAAGTTATGACTTATAATATTTGTAATTTGTGATCAATAAATAAATTGTGATGTATAAATTTTTGAATTGTAACCGTAAGATAATTTGTGATACATAAAAATTATGATTTGTGATCGGGAAAAAAAATATGTAACAAACTAAATCTTTAATTTATGACAAAAATGTATACATCTGTGACCTTAATATATTTAATTAATAAAATATATAAATATTTAACTAAATCATATATAAATTTTAATAAATATCTGATTTTTGAAATTTGAAAACTTTATTCTTAATTTTAAAATAGGTGATACTTAACTACTTAGTTATGAATTTTTCCCTTTCCACAAATATATTACGCAGTGCTCAAAACACCTAAGCAGGCCGCAGTTTTTTGGGTTGTACCAATTACTAATCTTGATACGATGGACTAATAATGATTACGTTGTATTCACACTCAAATTTTGTATAATGAGAATCTTGAAAATGAAAATAATAATAAAAATAATAATAAATCTTAAGTTGGCAACTTAAATTTAACTGAAAAGAAAGTCAATCTTTAGCAATCTTCTTTACTTTCTTTACAAGGGTTTTCCTTTTCTTCTTTGGAAATTCTCTATA